AATACAGTAGTTATTTTGCTTTATGTTTAAAAGTAAAACCTCCATTTTTCTTTAAAGCCTGAGAAATAATTTTAGGACTTCTTTAGAATCTAAATCTTGCGATCTGAAAACAAAATGAACATAAACATGAAATTACAGTGAGGTAAATGAATGTGTTCTTAATGAAATAGGGTTGATAGAACTCTTTATTATTGACAATTGAAATATGGTGTAATAGAAATAACTTCCAAAGATGGATAATAACTTTCCTGGGTCATTGTTTCCCCAATCTGATTAAGCATAACAGCCACCTAGAGTGCTTATAAAAATACAGATTTCCAGCCCCTAATCCAGATCTTTTAAGTCAGAACCTCCAGAAGTGAGGCCTGAGGATTTTTCTTTTTTCTTCCTTTCTAAACCCTGGGTGATTCTTACGACAATTTTAGATAATACTAGTCTAGATAATATACTTTCTTTTGAAGGTTTCAACTGGATTTCCATAGGCAAAATATTTTAATCCAGATATTCATATTTCTTTGCCTTATTTCTAAAACACTTCAGGCCTGAGGACTTGCGCCGTGAGTTTGGTCGATATGGCCCTATAGTAGACGTTTACATTCCACTTGACTTCTACACCCGCCGCCCAAGAGGATTTGCTTATGTTCAATATCCTTTGTTTTACTGTGTGCATGTGAATGTACTGTATACGTGTGCAGATACGCATGTGTATTTAGGAGCATATGTTATATGAGATTAATATTGCCTAATTGTGTTTATTTCTTTATCTCAGAAAATCTAAAGCAGTCCACAGTAGCTGGCAAGCGCCCCCCAGTTTGAACCAACCTGTTAGCTAGAATCCAAGCATAAACCGAGCAGGCGAGAAAAAAGGCACCTAAAGTTCAAGCATCAAGGAGTAAAGAGGGAGGGTGGACACAGATATAAAGACCTGGAAGAGGGGAAGTCTTTATCAAGCAAAAGACAAAGCCAACACCAGGTTGAGACTTCGGCTTTCCTACATTTATTCAGAGTTCCAGAGTCAAAGCCAAGTCTGATTTTGTTGGTTCTTCGTCTCTTATAAAGTCCATCTTGCAAGCCTTAAAGAGTAAAGGTCAAGGTTCAAGATCAAGTGACATTGAGGTAATTGCCAAAGTCTCATTTTGTATTGCATTTCTTGAGCTTTTTCTGTTTTCTATTTAAAAAAAATTTAACCAGTGAACAACCTCCTGAAAGATAGCTATTTAGTCATTTTATATAGTTTATTTCCATTTTAGTTAGGTTTAGTATATAATTTATGTAGATAAGGAAGTTTAGTGGGATATTACAAACCAGTATATGTAATTCCAGATGTTCACAGATTGCTTTTGTGTTTTTTTTATAATTATATCCCAAGCAGTAAGAACATAAAAGTATTTTAAAGTAGTAGGTTCAGAAGTAAATATGATCATTTTTAAAGGTATAATGTTTTAGGTGACATGTGTTTGTGCAGTTGTGTTTGTAATAAGTAATTTCTCCTAAATGTCATAATTAAAACACTTTTTAGTGAAAGAGTAATTGTAATTTCAGAATAAAGGCTTTTGCATGCTGATTTTTTTCCAAGAAAAACCTGAAAGAAGGGAGTGAGTCCTGTACAGTTTAATTATTAATACTAGCCAGGGTTGGACTTACTTTTTCCTCATAACCTGTTTCACATTATAAATGCATACTGCAGCTACTCTAATGTGTATATTAAAAGTATAGTTACACGTTTGTTTCTGTTCTTACTTTTAGATAGATTCTTCTCAATCATAAGGGGGCATTTGTTTTCATAATAAAAGTGAAATTCTTTCTGATTATATATATATGTATATAGGAGATGTAAGTTTAATACTTGGAGTTGTTTTTCCTATTAATTTCATGTCACGTGTAAATAATTCTTTAAAAATAACATTTTTACTTGATATCTGACGTTCAAAGTATCCTTAACAGCTAGTCATATTTGAAGATGTTCGTGATGCTGAAGATGCTCTTTATAACCTCAATAGAAAATGGGTATGTGGCCGTCAAATTGAAATACAGTTTGCACAAGGTGATCGAAAAAGTAAGTGCGACTAAACATTAGATCTTATTTATTCAGCAGAATGAGTTTTAGCTATGACAGATTTTTCTTATTTCAAATTCTTTCAGAAAATACTACTAAAGTACTGTTACTGAGGTTTTCAGGTAATAAATTATTTCATATTCTAGCACCAGGCCAAATGAAATCAAAAGAACGTCACCCTTGTTCTCCAAGTGATCATAGGAGATCAAGAAGCCCCAGCCAAAGGAGAACTCGAAGTAGAAGTTCTTCATGGGGAAGAAATAGGAGACGGTCTGATAGCCTTAAAGAGTAAGTACAAAATACAAGAGGATTGAAAACTTAATTTTCTACTTTTTCTGGAAGACATTTTAAAGAGTTTTCAGAAACAGGCCACAAGAATAATCTTATTCAATATACATAAAGATCAAATTTTGTTAGAAAAATATGCTCTTAGGGTGGTGCCTGGGTGGCTCAGTCAGTTAAGCATCCGACTCTTGATTTTGGCTCAGGTCACGATCTCAGGTTTGTGAGATCAAGCCCTGCATCCAGCTCCATGCATCCAGCTCCATGCTGAGTGTGGAGTGTGCTTAAGATTCTCTCTCTCCCACTTCCCCTTCTTCCCTGCTCCCCCCCTTAAAAAAAAAAAAAAAAAGATATGCTCTTCTCTATTTGAAATGTATTGTTACTTAACTTGGGTTTATTGGATACCTTCCAGTGTTTTTATTTCATGGCAGATTTAACTTTAAACCTTTTTAATAGAAAAATAATATGGGCTGAAGAAAAAAACAAATTTTAAAGTGTGTACTTGACAAATAAAATGAGGAATTTTATTTTATTTTTAAAGATTTTATTTATTTATTTGACAGAGAGAGCAAGCGCACAAGCAGGTAGAGCGGCAGGGAGAGGGAGAAGCAGGCCCCCCACTGAGCAGGGAGCCCGATGCGGGGCTGGATCCCAGGACCCTGGGATCACGACCTGAGCTGAAGGCAGACGTTTAACGGACTAAGCCACCCAGGTGCCCCAAGGAATTTTAAATAAATAAAATTTTCCTAACTGAACTCAGTAATTAAGAATCTTAAGTTCTGGGGCACCTGGGTGGCTCATTAAGCGTCATTAAGCATCTGCCTTCGGCTCAGGTCATGATCTCGGTCCTGGGATCGAGCCCCACATTGGGCTCCCTGCTCCACGGGGAGCCTGCTTCTCCCTCTCCCACTCCCCTTGCTTGTGTTCCCTCTCTCACTGTCTCTCTCTCTGTCAATAAATAAATAAAGAAAGAAAATCTTTAAAAAAAAAAATCTTAAGTTCTGATGATTAAAAACTCATAAGAAATAGAATCACTTGTGAAAGGTTGAATCTAAAATTAATGTAAATCAATATATTTATAAAAGGTAAGTTATTTTCAAAGATAAATTCTAAGTATGGTATTATTATAAGAAGACATTAAAAAGTTTTTCAGAAAAAGATATTTGCAGTTTATTTCGTTAGCCAGGAGTTTCTGTTACAATAATAGTAAATCACAATGGGAATTACTTGGTGAAGCTATTTAAATAATAACTGAAATTGTATTAGCATGCCTAAATTCTTAAGTAATTGTATTTATCTTGAGTTTTAATGCTATAATTTTTTCATAGACATGTAGAATTTAAAGGTAAATTCTGTCCTTGCAGCGCCTGGGTGGCTCAGTCGGTTAAGTATCTGCCTTGAGCTCACTTCATGGTCCCAGGGTCCTGGGATCAAGCCCCACATTGGGCTCCCTGCTCTGCAGGAAGCCTGCTTCTTCTCCTTCTCCTCCTGCTCGTGCTCTCTCTCTTTCACTCTCTCTCTAATAAGTAAAATCTTTTTAAAAAAAAGAAAAAAAGTAAATTATGTTCTTAAAGATCAGCACTGGGGCTCCTGGCTGGCTCAGTTGGTGGAACATGCCGTTCTTGATCTTGGGGTCATGAATTCGAGCCCCATGTTAGGTGTAGAGTCTACTTAAAAAAAAAAACAAAAAAACAGCATTTACACTAATATTATCTTTCTGTGAGTAATATGCTTAGCTGGGGAGGGGCGCCTGGGTGGCTCAGATGGTTAAGCATCTGCCTTCAGCTCGGGTCATGGTCCCAGGGTCCTGGGGTCGAGCCCCGCATGGGGCTCCCTGCTCATTGGGAAGCCTGCTTCTCCCTCTCCCACTCCCCCTGCTTGTGTTCCCTCTCTCGCTGTGTCTCTCTCTGTCAAATAAATAATAAAATCTTAAAAATACACTTAGTTGGGGAAAAACAAAAAATGTCTGTCAGTTGTCCCAAATCACCATTGGAGTATCAGGAATATAATGAACCACATCTTGTAAGACAATACTGTTTTGCTTTCTGCTCATTATAAGATCATTGCCTAACCTCCCTGACCTCAGTTTTTTTCATTTGTAAAATTGTAAAGAATGCAAATCTTACCTAGCTCTTGTTATATTCATAAGGATCGGATTTTGTGTCTGCATATGTGTATGTGTGTATATGTAAATGAAGCAGAATTTGTATAAGCCTAACAAAACGATAAGTAAATACAGTATATGTGGTATTATCTTAGACTAAACAGAGGTCTCTTATTTTGTTTTTAGTGGATATGGATTAAAAAACAAACTAGTGTTGCTATCCACTGGATTATGATGAGCTCTTTGAGGAGCAAGGACTTTTGTCTTTTTCATGCTTATATCCCCAGCACTTAGCAGTAGTCCTAGCTTATGTTAGTTATTCTATAAATTTTTGTTGAATTCATACTTCAATGAATGTATATATATATTCCTGAAAAATTGCTCCTCAGCTGCCTTTAGCCCAAATACAGCATCTCTGCCCCCTTTTTTTTTTCTATGTTGGATTTTTTTCTGAAGGATAATTTTCCCATTTGGCTTTCTATAACAGGAATGAAATTTAATAATTTCTTTCTTTTTTTCTTTAAGAGAGGGAGAGAGAAGGTGGGGAGGAGCAGAGGGAGAGAATCTTAAGCGGGCTCCACATTCATTATGGAGCCCGATGTGGGGCTCAGTCTTACCACCCTGAGATCCTGACCTGAGCTGAAATCAAGAGTCAGATGCTGAAAACAACTGAGCCACCCAAGTGCCCTGAAATTTAATAATTTCTAAAAGCCTGTGCTCTTATTCCAGGATATATTCTCAATCATATTTATACTGTCCAGTGTTCTTTATTCCTTCCTATAATTCCACACTTCTGAGATTCTTTTAGCCTAAAAAATTTTTAGTATTTCTTACAGTACAGGTCTGCTGGCAATGAATTCTTTCAGCTTTTGTTTATCTGAAAAATCTTCATTTTATATTCACTTCTGAAGGATTTTTTTGCTGGGGATAGAATTCTGGGTTGGCAGGGACTTTTTTTGTATTTATGTATGTATGTATGTAAGTAATCTCTACACCCAATATGGGGCTTGAACTCATGACGCTGAGATCAAGAGTTGTATGCTCTACTGACTGAGCCAGCCAGGCACCACTTTTTCCCCGCTTTTAAAAATAATATTATTCTATTGTTTCTTGAGAATTATAGTCAGCTGTCAGTCTTAATGTTGCTTCTTTGAAGGTAGTGTGTCTTATACTCTGGTTTCTCTTCAAATCATATAAATCTTTCACCTTTTACTGAAAGATTTCCATGGAGACGAACAACTCTGGGTCTTAAACCAATTTTTCGAGGCCTTGTTTTAACACGGCTGTATAAATAAATAAATAAATAAATAAAGGTAATGTGTCTTATCTCCAGGGTTTACTGAGCTGCTTGAAATTGCAAGTTGACGCCTTTCATTAATTTGGGGAAATTCTAGGTCATTATCTCTTTAAATATTGCTTCTGCCTCATTCAGTTTTTCTTTCTGACTGTGTGACTGTGTACTGCATATCTCTTATGCTCTGTTATGGATTTCTTAAAATTCCTTTTCTTGTGTTTCAGTAGATATGTTTTTCTAATCTGTTTTACAGTTCAGTTCACTTTTTCTTCTGCTGTATCTAGACTGCTGTTAAACTGATCTAATGACCTAAATTTCAGAAATATATTTTCAGTTCTAAAATGTCCATTTGCTTCTGTCTATAGATTGCAATATTCTCTTGAACTTTTCTATTTTTAAATCTGTTTTGCCTGCCTTTTCTTCCTACTTGACCAGTCATAGTAATTTTTTAAAATTCCTGTCTGAATAATGCCAATATCCATATTACTTTGGGTCTGTTTTTTTTCTTTTATTTCCTTAGCTTTTAGTAATTTTTATCTATTTTTCACATACCTCATAATTTCTTTATTGAATGTTGGACATTGTTGATGAAAACTTACAACACTTTGGATGATAACCTCCAAAGAAAATTGTTTTCTTCTAGCAGGTGGAGTATTGGCAAATCACCTTGATCTGTCAAGGCTTGGTTTGAGGCATTGTTAAGGTTGATTTATTTTAGCTTTACATTTACTCTTAGGGGTGGTCCTTACCTGTAGGATATGGCCCTTATGGGTTCTTAATTGAAAGCATGGGTTGTTACTCAAGGTTCCTTGACCTTTTAGGGGCTTGAACTCCAGCCTCTCTCCCCAGCACTGTGTGTCTGATAGAATTTCAGCTTAATTCTTGAATACTCCAACTGCTGTATTTGCTGACTTCTTGGAGTCTCATCCTGTACGTGCACAGCTTAAAAGATGGCCAGTGACTTGAAGAGAATTTATAGGCAAATTTTAGGAGATTTTTTTTTGTCTGCCATTCCCTCCTGAGATTTTGCCTCTTTAGTCCCAACCATTGTGGTAAATCTGAATCCTAACTTGCCTCTTCAGCTTAATCAAGTGGCCATTTTCTGGTTGGGTTCAGTTTCCCCCTGCCAGCATTTGGAAAATGGTCTTAGTTAAAAGAGCCATGGCTCGTAACCCCTCAAGTTCTACTAGGGTTGGTTATTCTCCAGTGCCTTTAAATAGTTGTTTTATAATGTTATTTAGCTTTTGTGTGTGTGTGTGTGTGTGTGTATGTTTTCTATGGGAAGATTAGTCTAATACACGTTGTTCTATCATGGCAAGATTCAAAAGTCCTGCATCTAGGTTTTGTGTTTGTTTTTATAAGCATTATTTGACAAACTTTAAATAATTACTTTCTCTTTTTTTATCTTTTTTTTCCTTCAAATTTTCATACCTCTTGGGAGTTGTATAACCCAGATTAAACATGCAGGGCATTTTTCAGAACTGACCCATATCATAAGATAAATCTAGCAAAGCAAAAATCTTTTGGTCATAGATTCTAGTATAACAAATATTACAAACTTGTTACTTATGTTTGAACTAAAAGTATGCAAAATAAAATTAAAATTGTTTCTTTTAGTTTATCCAGGAAAAACATATAAAGTGTATAAATTCCTGAAATTGCTGTTTCCTAACCTTTCATTAAATGTTTTTGTGTAAAATATATACTCTTAACATAATGAATGTTTGCAGGTCTCGACACAGGCGATTTTCTTACAGCCAATCTAAATCCCGCTCCAAATCACTACCACGGCGGTCTACCTCAGCAAGGCAGTCAAGAACTCCAAGAAGGAATTCTGGTTCTAGAGGACGGTCAAGGTCCAAGTCCTTACCAAAAAGGTCCAAGTCAATAGGAAAATCACAATCAAGTTCACCTCAAAAGCAGACTAGCTCAGGAACAAAATCAAGATCACATGGAAGACATTCTGACTCCATAGCAAGATCCCCTTGTAAATCTCCCAAGGGGTATACCAATTCTGAAGCTAAAGCACAAACAGCAAAACACACTCATTTTCGATCACATTCCAGATCTCGGAGTTATCGTCATAAAAACAGCTGGTGAACAGCCACAGAAGAGCGCTACATAGTCTTGAATGTGTTATTAAAACTCTCATTATGTTAAATAAAAATTCTTCAAGGCTTATAGAAAATGTGAGTTACTTTGGGCATGTGCAACAAATAAAATCTCTCTAGTTCTGGGTTAAGTAAGACTTGGTCTCAATTTAAAGGGCCCATACCACAAATTATGATGTGTCTGATCTGTCATCATTTTATGGACCGTTTTTTGTTTACATTGTGGCAGAAGGATACTTCTCAAAGGAAATGGGTAAAATGGAACTAATGTAGAAAATTCTACTTGGATATGAAGTATTAGTAATATTAATGATACCTTTTACAAAAATATTTTTTACTTTAAAGCACTTTTACTTTCATGTAAAAAGTAATTATGACTGTATAATTACATAGGGCAGACTTAAACTGCTTGACAACGTATGTCTCTCTTGTATCTTCTGTTTAAACTTGGGCCAGTTCCTAGTGGATATTAGTTCATATTACAAAATTCTGACATTCCTAAAAGAAGGATTTATATAGAGATCAAGCATTCAAAAGATACATTCTCTCCTGAGCTCAAAAAGCTTGTTTTTTACTGTGTAGAACAGTATAAATAAGTTGACATTAAGTTGCATCCTGTACCATGTTCATTTACTTCAGAAGTATCAAAACGTTTTAAAAATACTGAATTTTGAATGGAGACTACTCTAAAAATCACGTGCAGCACTCATAATCCAAAAATACTCATATTAAGCCTTATACATTTGAAGAGTGGTACATTTTGTATAAAAACCATATTTTATAACATTATTTCTACATACCTACTTTTCATCTACCACTTAATTTTTTCTTTTTGGAGTTCAGCTCAAGACTTTAAATTGTACAGAGTAAGTCCTATTATTTTTTAAGGTGTTTAGTATCTTGTATTAAGGAATTCAAGACTGCATCCTCAATAAGCTTTGTGGTATTCAGATTTACTTTACACTGCCCTTCATTTTTATAAACCAAATAACTTTATTGATATTGCTTTTGTAGTAGTTAAAACAGAATTTCTTTAAAAAATGTGTTTGTAGTTTACGTTTTTCAGAGGGTTTTGGTAGTATTTGTGATAAAATGGTTTTGCATATGATTATTATAGGGGATATATTTATAGAGTTCTACTTGTGTACTTTGTTGAAGTATATTGAAAATTAAAAGTTCTCAGCCCATATAGTTAATATTTGTAACTAGAGTGCTTAAGAAAAAAAATCTGTCTTATATTTTTGGCATATAGGAGCCAGTGTTGCTTCTATTTTTTTCTTTTAATACAAATTCCACTTTGCATTTTCGACCCTATGTAAGAAATAACTTTACAAAATAATTTATATGCTGGTAATATTTGGACAAGTACCATAAATTCACATAAACTGTACAGTACTTTCTGAATACATTTTCTTTATTTAATCATAATAGCAAAATCTTTGAAGTGTTCAGCTGTAATAAAATTTAGTCATAAAATTATGTGGCACTGTTGAAAATCTAAAGGATAGTCCAAAGAAAGAACAAATATTAATAGTGATGTTTCATATTTTCTAAATAAATGTTTGGGTTTATCCACACATACATGCAGTAATTTGAAATACTAAGTAGGAATTGATTATTGTGTCTATACTTTGCATTTGATTATATCTTAGTAAAAAGTCAATACAGTGGTATTTCTGAAGATGCTTATCCTTTGATTTACCTCTGATTTGGTTTTCCATTGTAATCTTTAGGCTGCTTAGGAGGATCCTATTTGATTTGATGGAAAAACTGGAATAATAATAGTTCAGACTTTTGCGAGCATTTACTTGGCACTGCTCTATAAGATTTACATTATTCACTCATCATCACAAAAGCTGTATGAGAGATATACCACTGCAGATAAGGAAAGTGAGATGCAGAGAGGTTCAGTGATAACCACTAGGTCACACATTATTAGACTTGGGAGTGGACAGTGGCTGGGCTCCAGACTGCCCCTCCCGGACTGTTACGCTTTTTGGAAGAGAAATCTTTGACAGATACATGCTAAACTAAGATAATGTTTAGAGGGAAAGGAGAAAATAGAATTAGGAAAGTAAATGATTATAAGCTTTCAGTGTAAATGGGTTCTGTGACTAAGTGGAAACTGACAATTGTGCTGGTTCCTTGAGAAATTGTCTTCTGGGTATATCTCTTCTAGGATTCACTTTTGTTATAGAACTGTTTCTTGGACCATTTAGGAGAGGATACTTAGGATAAGATTGTTAATAAATAAAGCAAATGTTTTACACATCTGTGATCATTTCCTTTAAAGATAATATATTTACTCAGGTGCTTCCCAAGTTTAGTGTAGGAGAACTACCTGTCCACATTTGTTCAGGATCAGAGGATAAGTTAATGTCAAAGAAAATAAAAATGGCCACTACAACTATTTGTTTTCTTTCTCCCCATGAATAATAAACAATTTCTGGGGCGCCCGGGTGGCTCAGTCAGTTAAGCCTCTGCCTTTAGCTTGGGTCATGATCCCAGGGTCCTGGGATCAAGCCCCACGTCGGGCTCCCTGCTCAGGGAGGAGTCCTTTTCTCCCTCTGCCTCTCCCCCCACCACCCCATCCCCTCGCTTGTGTTCTCTTCTTGCTCTCAAATAAATATAATCTTAAAAAAAAAAAGTAATTTCTGTATAGCAGCTGATACTTGGAGCTGCAAACAGTGGAATATACCAAATTTTTTATTTGAAGCCTAGGATTTCATCTTACACTGGGCTAAAACTTATTTTTAAATGAAAAGAACTAATTTCGGGGCACCTGGGTGGTTCAGTTATGTGTCTGATTATGGCTGAAGTCAGGATCTCAGGGTTCTGGGGATCGAGTCCTGAGTCGGGCTCTGTGCTCAGTAGGGAGTCTATTTCTCCCTCTCCCTCTGATCCTCCTCCTCACTTGTGCTCACGCTCTCTCTCTCAGTCTCAAATAAGTAAATCTTAAAAAAAAAAAAACTAATTTCAGGACTTTATATATTATTTGTAGTGTTTACTTGAGATGCAGCTGTTATATTACAAATAAGAATATCTACCTTTATTCTCATCCCACTGCAAGAGGCAAAATTAGTAAAAATCTGAAGAAGTATTTAGAAATACTTTTACGATTCCTCTAAACTATATTAAAATTGTAATTTCTTGGAATTAAACATTAAAATTTGTTTTCCAGACAGGTGGTAGAATATCTGGAGTATTTGTATGTAGATAAATATATGCTACTTAGGGGCACTTGAGTGGCTCAGTTGGTAGAGAATGACTCTTAATCTTGGGATGGTGAGTTTGAGTCCCACATTGAGGATAGAGGGTAGAGTTTACTTAGAAAAAAAAATACACAGAACTTAGTATGGTCTGGTGCAGAAATGTTAACTTGGCATCATGGAACCAAAACTTTAGGTCTAGGCCCTGTAGATTTTCAAACAAGTTCATGACTTGCAAGAGTTTAAGGACCAGTGGTTCAGTGAGACCTGGGTTTTGGAGTCAGAACTTAACCTCTCTTTGACTAGAAACATTTTCAAGTATTAAATGATGATTATGCACCTTAGCATCTAAATCCGTCCCTTGATGAATAAGGTATTTAGGATCGTATCATGACCTCTGGCATTGGTTTGTAAGGGTCAATTTAGGCCTTCCGGAAAATTTATGTCTTGTATGCCTTTAAAAAGATGTTTATATCACCCAGGAGATAGACATTGGGGAGGGTATGTGCTATGGTGAGCGCTGTGAATTGTGTAAGACTGTTGAATCACAGACCTGTACCTCTGAAACAAATAATACATTCTATGTTTAAAAAAAAAATAGTAGGAAGGTTAAAATGAAGGGGGTAAATCGGTGGGGGAGATGAACTATGAGAGACTATGGACTCTGAGAAACAAACAGGGTTCTAGAGGGGAGGGGGGTGGGGGGATGGGTTAGCCTGGTGATGGGTATTAAAGAGGGCATGTACTGCATGGAGCACTGGGTGTTATACGCAAACAATGAATCATGGAACACTACATCAAAAGCTAATGTATGGTGGGCACCTGGGTGGCTCAGTTGGTTAGGCGACTGCCTTCGGCTCAGGTCATGATCCTGGAGTCTCGGGATCGAGTCCCACATCGGCAGGGAGTCTGCTTCTCCCTCTGACCCTCTTCCCTCTCGTGCTCTCTATCTCTCATTCTCTCTCAAATAAATAAAATCTTAAAAAAAAAAAACTAATGTATGGTGATTAACAAATTTTAAAAACGATGTTTATAAAATTAAGCAAAGATAATTGAGTCAAGAAGCTTTTTTGGAAATAGACTCTGATAGAAGTGTTAGACATAACAGGTTGATTCAACTTCTCTCAAGTTGATATAATAATGACATACCATTTTTTTACTTAAAGGAATCATGTGAAAGATTGAAATAAAAAATATAGACTATTACACCCCATCAGTAGTATTTTCTCCCCCAAATTGTAATGTTTTTATTCTGTTTGGGGGAAAGGGCTATATGAATCTTACATTCTAGGAATATACTGCAACTCTGAACTTACGGAAATAAATAGTATCAACTTGTGGGGGTAGATGGGTGCAGAGTAGATTGATGGTTACCGTTTTTTAAAAGTAGGTGATTTGGGGACGCCTGGGTGGCTCAGTCAAGCATCTGCCTTTGGCTCAGGTCATGATCCCAGAATCTTGGGGTCGATTCCCGCATCAGGCTCCCTGCTCAGTGGAGAGCTTCCTTCTCCCTCGACCTCTGCACCCCAACTCTCTCCCCGTTGCTATCTCAAACAAAATCTTTTTTTTAAAAAAGGTGATTTTAAGTATATGGTTCATAGAATTCAAAACACCATATTCAACCTACATGTTTATAGTAAATTAACAAATTAAAATCAATATCTTACTATATGTCAGGTTTCGGGTTCTTTCAGAACACTGACCAAAAAAAGGGTCAGTCTCTTCAGATGAGAGAATGCCTAGCCAGTAATTAGTACTTAGTCATAGAAATGGATTGATT